TTTTACTGAAAATGTCAGTAGCTTTTCCCTCAGACATGCTTAAAGGGCAATTGCAGAGCACAAATAACTGCTTTTCCCACGTTTTCTAAATGAGAGGAAATTGTCCATAATGAATCTACGCAGGCTGCCTCAGCAAACACTACAGTACAAACACTCCCCTTGCTATTCTAATCACCGTGGGCTGAGATGGCTAATTAGAAAATCCTAAGTCAGAACACAAGCTCTCTGAATTCGAAAAAGTTACCAGTGCATTTTCAGGTTTACCTCCAAGTCTCCTGTAGCTACAAAGCAACAGACGGTATGTGCTACAGCATGGAAATGGTCTGTCCCCGCGCCACCCCCCCCCCCCGCCCCACTGCTGCCTTCATGGCTACAGTTATGACTTCCTTTACTTACTGTGTTCCCCACAGAAGCAGAGCAGAAGGTGCCTTGTCAACCCATTGGCTGACTGCCTCCCAGACCTGTCCCCTCCAGACGTCCCCTCATCTGCTGCCAGAGTTCTCCCCCTAGGATCTGTCATCCACATGTCAACTTCACAGTTGGTTTCTGTACTAATATTTATTTTATTTTGCTCAAATCTAAATTGGTGTATGTCTCTAAGCTTGTTCATGCCCTACACACTAACAGCTGTGAAAGCACACATATGACTTACTGTCACACAACAGAAAATATTCAAAAAGCATATCTGATAAAGAACTTGGGTATGGAATATGTAAAGGATGCTTACAACTCCATAACAAGGAGAAAAACAATCCAATTTAAAAATAGTAAAAGATTTAAATAGACACCCTACAAAAGATAATACACCAAGGCAATAAGCACATGATGATGATATGTTCAATATCATCACACATCAGACAAATGCAAATTAAAACCCCAATCAGCCAAAACCGGTTTGGCTCAGTGGATAGAGCGTCGGCCTGCGGACTGAAGGGTCCCAGGTTCGATTCCGGTCAAGGGCATGTACCTGGGTTGTGGGCACATCCCCGGTGGGAGGTGTGCAGGAGGCAGCTGATCGATGTTTCTCTCTCATCGATGTTTCTAACTCTCTATCTCTCTCCCTTCCTCTCTGTAAAAAATCAATAAAATATATATTTAAAAAAAACAAAAAACAAAACAAAACCCCAATCAGATAGCACTAACACTAAAATTTAAAAGATTAATAATTCAAAGTTGGTGAGAATCTATAATAATAAAAGCATAATATGCTAATTAGACCGGACGTCCTTCCGGACGAAGGCGAGGCTGTGAGGGAAGCCCGGGTCCTGGGTGCCTGCCGGCCATAGGGAAGCTGGCAGCCAGGAGAAGGAAGGCCTACTCTTGCACAAATTTTGGAATACATTAGGCCTAGAAATATACACAGAATAAATTAGGGTTAAAATAAAGTTAAATATACAGTTACCATAGAACCCAGCAATTTCATTTCTAATCATTTCATTCAAGAAAAATGAAATATTATAGCCCCCAAAAGACTGGGACCTGAATGTTGGGGATGGGGACAATAGCAAGTTTCTTTCGAAGAGCCCAGCACTTGCTGGAGGGTGGGGGCGGCAGCCCAGGGTCCTCTCAGCTTGCTTTCCCGGTGTGGAACCACTGCCTCACTCCAGGGCTCAGTATTGGAGTGTTGCACCCAACGCAGGGCCTCCATTGCATGAGTGGGGACCGGGCAACAGAAGGGAACTTTAACGGAGAAAGAAAACACGTCTTTGCATTGAGATAGTTTGCTCTGGCATTGCTTTGAGGCCTGCCAAACTGGCAACCCCGGGTGAAGATAATTCACCCACAAAAAAACCAAAAACCAAAAACACACACAAAAAGCAGAAAGATAGCAAGAGACTGGGACAGGCTGAGGTTTCACTTTTCCTTTTCAATAGCTTAGCCCCAATTGGAAATATTACAGACCAAACGGGGTCTGGTTCATTGGTCCAAAGTTGGGGGGTCTGTGGTTATCAACAGAACAGCCCCAAAGTAGTTTAGGTCAAGTTCATGTGGCAGAGTAAGTGCACCACAGAGGAGGGTATAGCCAGGTCTTGACCAGCATAATGAAGCTGATACAGGCACACCTTGTTTTATTGCATGCCGCTTTATTGTACTTCACAGGTGTTGCATTTCTTACAAATTGAAGGCAAGACCCTCCACCAGCAAAAAGATTACTACTCACTTTATTGCGAGACTCACTTCATCACAGTGGTCTGGAAGCGAACCCGCAATCTCTCTGAGGTATGCCTGTATTCTGGGGTGTGAAGGCTCGTCTCACTACTCCCATTGACACTGAGGTGCACGTCGAGGGCCCTAAGTGATATCTAGACAAAACACAATTATCTTACCTTGGACAGGTTCCTCTCTGTTCTTTATGGACTGTGGTAAGCAGAATGGCTCCCCCAAGATGTCAGCACCCTAATGTCTACAACTTTGAAAATGTTATATTAAATGGCAAAAGAGACATAGCAGCTGAGAAGTTAGAGTTTCAAATCTGGAGATCATCCCGGGTGATGTGGGTGGACCCACTCTCATCACGTGAGGCCTCTAATCACGTGAGGCCTCACAAGCAGTGAACTTTCTCCAGCTGGGGCGAGAGAGGCCCGTGGCGCATGCGAGGATACCCGACGCTGGAGGGGCACTTAGACAGCCTGAGAAGGGATGTGGGTGGCTTTTACCAGCAAAGACTGGTCCAAGGCTGACAGCTAGCAAGGAAGAGTGGAACTCAACCTACAGCGACAGGGAACCGAGTTCTGCTAGCAACCTGAATGAGCCTGGAAGCCCAGCCTCCCACAGCCTCCAGAGAAGCGCCCAGCCCCGCTGACAACCTGGGTCCAGCCTTGTGAGGCCTTGGGCAGAGGACCCCGCTGGGCCCAGTTGTGCCCAGATTTCTAAGCCAGGTAAATGGAAGATAATAAAGGGATTCTTATTGTTATTTTAAGCCACTAAGTTTGTGTTGATTTGCCTGGCAGCAATAGAAAACTAATACATTAACACATTTTAAAAAAAAAAAAGCAAGCAAGCAGAATTCTTAAGCAAAAGTGACTGAATATAGTTCTCTTTCCTTACTGCTCAAGCACAATAGTGACAACCTCTACTTCCCTCTGTGGCACACTGTATATTGGGAGACTGAGGCTCTATTTAGGGGATTTTCTCTCCAAGGCATGCTAGAACACGCTGGGATGGAGAGTGGGCTTCAGTGAGAGCACAATTCAACAGGAAAACCAATTATTAGGCTCCTGTACTAATCCAGTGGAGGGGAGATAGGCATGGTCAGCTGGTAGGAGATCAGATTGGAGAGGGAGACGCTGGTAACCAATGGGTCTAGAAAGGCTGGCTGGGTAGAAAGCAGTCCCAGTGAGTTAGAGATGGAATTTAAGAGGAGGGATAGACTTGGGGAGAAATGATCATGGTGTACATTTAGTGTGGGACATGTTGAGTTTGAGGGGCTTGTGGAAGAAATATCGAGGTGGTATCCAGCAGGTAAGTGGATATTGGAAACTGAAGCTCAGCTGATTCTCAATTTGGGAATTATTAACATATAGGTTGATAAAATCATGTGAGTGCAAGAGATAACCCAGAAGATGCTTATGGGTTTTCTTTTACTTTAAAATATAATAAGAAAAGGAATGAAGAAGAGATACACATAGGAAGTAACAGGCGATTTCATTTGTATGAGGTAATTAGAAAAGGATTGAAGGAGAGAGAAAATAGGAAGGAGTTAGAAAAGATGAGAAAGTGTCCAGAAAGTACATGATCCCTCTTAGAGGAGAAGAAGGAGGCAGTAGGGAGGTGTGAAGCTAGAGAATGTTTCTGTTAGCCAGCAAGGAGCACTGCTGGCCCAGGACGGTAGATCCTGCCTGGGCAAATGGTGATGTGGGTAGGACTGGCCACTCATAGACACACAACAGCATGGTGATTACCAGAGGGAAAGGGGGGTGGGGGAGGGAAAGAGGGTGAAGGGTGGTAGAGAGGGGTAGAGAGGGGATAATGGTGATGGAAGAAGACTAGACTTTGGATGGTAAACACACATTAGAATATACAGATGATGTATTATAGAATCCTATGTAATTTTATTAACCAATGTCACCCCAATAAATTCAATAAAAAAAAAATAAGAGGGAGGCACAGGAAATTATGACAGTTCAACCAGCCACTGGTACACAAGGAGTTTCATAAGCTGGTGTTAACAATTTGAGGAATATTAATGCCGGGTTCCACTTGGGTGCATCACTCATTCAGTGAAGATTGAGCTATTGCAAAATCATTTGCAGGGAAATTGGAGACCCCTCCCATCGCCCTATTTCTGTGAAAACATTGCTGCTATCTTAAAGAGACTGAAGAATCTATTAGCTTATGCAACAGTCACCTTTGCATTCAACAGTTTCCTCATGAAAGTGCACAAAGACTTGTTTTGAGAGCCTGTCTGCATCCCAACCTGGGAAGGCATTTGAAGCTGCGCACACAGCAGCAGGGAGGGAGAGTCGGCAGAACGGAGGGGGGCTCCCTGCCGACTGCCAGCTGTGAGGAAGCAGCTGGCTGTGTTCTTCACTTTCCCTGCTGGTCTGGATGGGCTCAGCAACAATTACACTTAACCCATTCCATAGCACCAAAGGATTAGGCCATGGGACCAGAAGTGACATCTTCGTTCTCTTTCGCAATGCCTCTGGCTTGGGCTGAGAATAAAACCAGCTGCCAAGGTTCTTTTAAATTTTCCACCACACCTGACTTAAGCAGCTCCAGGATCTTTTATTGTTGCCTTTTAAAATTTCCCGTAGACACGGGCCCAATATTGTTGCATTCAAACACATTTCTAGGTCAAAGATTAAAAAGTACTTAAGTATATTTTTATTTTACTTTGTTTCAATGCCACACACACACACACACACACACACACACATAAATCACTTAATAAGGTATAACATTCCATGTTTTAATATTAATAACAATAACATAAATGATCATTTCCTGAGTTAACAGTGCAATGTAAAATTTAGTCTGTATTGCTAAGACATTTTACAGCATAGAAACATGATCCAAATGATCATTTACTTTATCATGTCATAAAACACAAGAGCTCATCATAGAACAGTGAGACAATTTAAACGGTAAGAAACCTTGTGACTCAACAAACAACCTGCATGTGTCTGTTGTCATGATTGACTTTCCAGGTCAAATATCAGTAGTAAAATAAGTTATGGTATAAAATAAAGTCAACAGGTTTTCCATAGTGACGGAACATTTGATTTCATTTAAGAAACAAGCCTGGAGTCCGGTTAACCTCTTAGTATATACAAAAATGTTGTCTTAAAAAAACCCTAAGCCATCACAAATTTAGATAAAACAGTTGAGTAAAAGACGACAGCTCTTCATTATGCAGTAAAACCATGGATCTCATCTTTGGAAAAGTTAAGATCATGCAGCATCCTGAAAAACAAATACAAAGCACAAGTCTCTTAGGGAAAGTAAAGAAGTAACATCAAAGTTTAGCATCATAAGCATAGTACTTTTTTAATTTCCTCATTTACAATGTACTGTAAAAAAAACCCCCAATTATCACTTTTAATAAGATTCTCTTTCATCTCCCTCTCTCTTTCTGTGTGTGTACTGCAGTTTATCCAACAAAAATCAGATCTTTACGCGCTGAGTCACCCACAGTCCTCATTTTGCTGCATCGCTGTGATAAATGTTAATATTATGAACTTGTATCCTCTTATTGTCCATAACTTAATAATTGAATCTACAGGCTAGGTCAGGTCAAATTCTTTTTGACAAGACTACTTCATAGGTAGTATTCTCCCATTAGGAGGCACATAATACCTGACTGCCTCTCCTTTGGGATACTAACAATTATCCATGATTTATGGTCTATCCATTAGTAGTTCATTAGGATCTGAAATTGGTGATATTCTACTCCTATCATTCTTTCTTCATTTATAAGCTCAGGAACTCTGTAAAGAAAAACTTCTCATTTATTATGTGGTTACCCTGTAGTACAGCTCATATAGAAAAGGCAACATAATGCTTGATTTTTTTCCTCCTTTATTCACCAGTTTTCAAAGTAAGGAGTTAATCCCCACAGCATTCTATCTTTACTCTCTCCTCTGAACCGAAAAAGTAGAAATACTGCTTATGGGTAATTCAACTTGGAAAACACTATAAATGGAGACTGAAATCTTAGAAATGGTTGTTTAAAATGTTCCTGAACATAATAAACATTTATTTAGTACTTACTGTATGTAGTCACTGTGCTAAGCACTTCACATCCAAGGATTCTTTTTTCTACCACGTTGCTACTCACCTCATTCCTTGTTCTGTAAATGGCATTGGTCCACAAATGCAGATGAGAACTTTGGATTTGTCTGAACTTCTTTTCAAAAATTCAGAAAGAAGATCTAAAGAAATGTGTCCCCTTTTCCCATTCCATTCAGAAGTAGGTTTTGAGAGAACAAATTCAACATCAAATCTAGAGGGAGAAAAACATTTTTTAAAAGTCTATTATTTTAACATATGATTAGCATGTCTCAAGTTCACTAAAACATCTTTTTTCTCTCTTGAAAATGATATAATATGTAAAAACTGATACACTCGCTAGAAAAGCTCTGCAATGGATTATAAACAAAGATTTAACAAAAACATATAGGTAAATCCATATTTACTAAGGATTAGCTTTTGCTACAGAAAAGAGGAGTAATCTGGCATCTTTTATTGCACTCATTAGAAAGGGATCTCAAAGAATTACCCATTCCTATTAATACTCTGCTTGTGTAAGTCAAGTAAAGAGCAATCATCAGTGACATGCACTTTAATCTCTGACTCAAACCTTTCATGAGTTCTAAACCCGTATAACCAGCATCCTATTTGACTTCGTACTGTTGCTGTCTCAAAGGCCTCAACCTCATCTTACAATCTCTCTGCCCCACACCTGACGTTCTTTGTGGATGCTGCCAAGGTCCACTTGGTTGCACAAGCCAGAAACCTGGGGTTTATCCTGAGGACCTCTCTCTGCATCTCCCCCCATATCCACATCCTCAAGACCTATCTCCCAGCTATTTGTCCGCTTCTTTGAGTCTTCACTGCCATACACTTGCATTCTTTCTTCTTTCTGTAATGCTGTTATCATGTCCCATTCTTCAGTTCTCAGCTAAGCACCATTTCCACAGGGAAGCACTGTGGCCTTTGGGGTCCTTTGTTATATGTGTTGTAGAAATATTTTCCTTTTCTTTTCTTTATAGACCTTACTTCAGGTTTTAAGTATGCGGCCACCAAAATGATAATGTTATTAATGTCTACCTTCCCCACTAGACCATAAGCCCCATAAGAGCAGGGACCATTTCGCTTTGGCTATCACTGTGTCCCTAGTGCCAACACATGGGAAGCACTCAAGTATTATGGAATGAAAGGTAGGGGAAAAAAGGAAGGGTACCAAGAGCCTATCTGACTTCGTACTGTTGCTGTCTCAAAGGTCTCAACCCTCAGAATTAAAATGAGAAAGAAGAACATCAAACCAAGTTTCACAATGTGACTACAGATCATTTCCCACCACAGTTTTGTAATCTGTTCAGCAAATGGCTGGTGAAGGGTAAATGATTCAAAATTGTATGTTCTGCCTGTTCCCTTTGCTCCATTTTAGCAAAACACAAGTCATTCTTACCATTTTCAATAGCATTGGATCAGATGCATTTGCACATTTTCCAGTGAGTAACTGACATATTTTCTCAAGAGTAGAAGGATTTAATTGCATATTAATCTCAACCTTAAAACAAAGTTGAACAGCGTCTCTTGTGAAAGGGCCTTGGGAGTCAGATATGAGAACAGAAACAGGATGAGGTGGTGCAGCAGCTCAGGTCGCTGTGCTGCAGTTGGGTTAAGGTTCTTAGGAACTGAGGAGCCTGGCACAAGCACACAGACCAACTCAGAGGGCCAGCGGGGGCAGAGAACCGGCCCAGCTCTCACCTAGCCCCACCTCTAGGCTTTATTTGTCCATTTGTGCAACAAGTTGCGAATACTACTTCATCTCTTATAATTCTAATATTTTGACTTTATATTTAAAAAGCTCTACAGAATTATGTTTTATTTCTTACCTACAAGGTTCCCATTTAGTTTTAGCAGATACAGAGTGGGGCAAAAGTAGGTTTAGAGTTGCCCATATGGAAAATACAATAATTAATAAATAATGCAAGAATAAATGGTTTTGCATACTCACATACACCTTTTACTCCACCCTGTATACTAATCCACCTTACACAAAATAACCTCCCAAATATTTTTTCACTAACTTATTTTTCCCTTCTAGCATATAAAATTAAGATAGTTTTCAATAACTTTGGAATGTAGTATTTGTTTACTGTTCCATGAAGGCAAGTTCCTTGTTTGTCTTGTTCAATGCAGTACCCAGGCCTGGCTCAAGGTAAGTGCATAAAAATACTTGTTGAGTGAATAAGGCATTTGCTTACAAAGAATCAGTACTGACGAAAAATAAAAACTGTCAATAGAAAAACAAAGCCATAGGCTGGCATCATGAAATGACACATAAAAATGGCTGTGAATTCCCTAGTGCCTTTTCCGAGGAAGAAGGTCCACAGCTCTCATCAGATCATCAAAGGGGACCCAGAAGCATCTGCAGAACCACTATCCTAAGACATTTCCAATTATACATAGACTATTAGATCAAAGATAGCAATTACCTTGTTAAATTAAAAATAAAAATCACTGGAATAAAACTGGTAAGATACATAAGTCTTATATACTGGCATTCCTGTCATCTGAAAATATAACTTTCCTTTACTGAGATGCTTTAAAGAAAAAAAAAAAAGCCTAGTCAGTGGCATAATTTCTGCAGGCATCTGCTAAAGAGTGATAAGTACCCAAGATCCTTATAAAGAAGGTGTACACTTCTCATGCATTCGTATTTATTAGCATAACGGTCCCTTGGCCTATCACTTAACTCCATAGAAAGAGTGAAGAGGGGCATACATGCAATTTTTAAGGATATTTGTAAAAAGCCTGCTATCCTGCTTATCTCCTCCTTCACAGGACTAGAAAAGAGCTTAACTGGAGCAGGTGCAATCCCAAGTTAAGACTCAAGAATACTTTAATGAAGGATTTCTTATACCACATCAAGATGCAGATAGTTACTGCGGAATCAGTCACCTCTCCTGAAGTGTTCTGAATGAAGGCCAACTTACTGTCTAGCGCAATTACAGGTGAGGCCTGAGGGCACATGGGCAGAGCCTGCCATCATCCAACAACTAACTTTCCTCTAGCCAATCAGCTTCAAACACCTACCTCTGTTGTTTTCCTTACATATGTCCCGTTACATTCCACTTTCAGTGGGACAGCTCCAAATACTGGCCTTATACCTTGTCTAAAATCCTGCTCTAACAGCCTTAGCCTTAATCCACCTGACATACCATTGCCAGCAGTTCTCCTTAATACCCAGACCCCATCTTACACTGTCTTAGCTTTAACAGCTTCAGTGTTTGTCACTGCCCACAGAAGAGGATTTCATAGTATTGGGGGCCCCAGCCTTTTCTGGTTTCAATAGCTAAAGGAAATTACTAGAAAGAGCAGGAAAACTTGGTATTTTCTCACGGGAAAAATAGCTTACAACATAAACAGCTAAGAGTTAAAGTTATACAAAATGCACATGTTCTGGAAACATTTCTCAAAATGAATCTATTAAACACTAGTGTTCCTCAAGATGTTAGTGGTATTCCATGAAAAAAGTTCAACTATGAAATAAATTTGGGATACTGGGTTGTTTTTTAAAAAAAAGTTAAATAGATTTATTTAGAATTTCTCAAAGCCTTAAATATGCTAAGTTCCGAGTAAATCTTAAAGAAGGTAATATGATACACGTTATTTTCAAAGGTTTTTTTTATGTTGTTGTTGTTTTTTAATGACAGAGCCCTTAGGGGAGAACACATGAACATTCTATGAAACACTCCATATGAGGAGTATCTGTGAGGAACAGAAAGTGGTACAGGAGTCCAGACTAGGGGCCCACATATCTGTGATTATCACAAGCTGGGAGGGGGGGGTGGGAAGGGGTTAAGGCACATTGTTGATTTACTTATGTTTCTGCTGTCTTAAAGGGGAATAACAAACTGCTCATCCCAATACTGATGCCAGAGTACAGAAACTCAGTGGGCCATTGTCTATGGAGCCTGTCATAAAGGGAGGTACGCTGCCCAGTGTTGCTGGGCCTTCTCATATCCATCTAATACATATTTATTTAATATATGAATTATATTCAAAGTCTCCCATCACCCGATTTTAGCCCAGTCTGTTTCTTCCATTGTAAGACAGGAGGATTAGAAGCGATTACCACTAAGATTCCTTCTAATATGCACATAAAGTTTATGTTTTTATTTTTAGTTATTTCATTGTTCTCCTTCATGCACTATATTTACTTCAACAAAACTGGACTCTGCTCTTTTGCTAAAATGCCCTGAACATCCTGGCCCTCATGTTTTTTTGCTCATGAAATCCTATAACCCAAATTTCTTTTCCTGTTCATGGAATGCCATTTCCCAAAGCCCAGTTCAGAAGCCACTTCTTCCACAAGCTCTGATCTCCCCTCACAAACAGGATTACTTCTTCTCCTAGAATTCTCTAACATGGGATTCTCTGACATAGAGTTCTCTAACATGCGATCTGTCCTCCCAAAGCCCGGACTTCCTAGGCACTGCTGCTCTTCAGAACGCCCCACTAGGGCAGTCCTACTCATTTTGTATCTTTCCCCAGCACATTGTGCAAATGAGCACACAGATGCCTGAAGTGAGGCACGTGATCAGTGTGCATATAAATAGGGACATAATCACTTGTCTGTTGTGCCCCACTCCCTTGTTGCTTGGAATCCTCTCTCTTTCTCTTTCCAGTATGCTCCACCACTGACCTCGTCATTTCCAGAGCAAAAATAAGGACACTACCAGTGTGAGTGTGCTGGCAGCAATATTCCTCACTTTCTAGAGCAGTGGTTGGCAAACTGCGGCTCGTGAGCCACATGCGTGTCTTTGGCCACTTGGAGTGTGGCTCTGCTGCCAGTTGAGTCAAGAGGTTTCAATTCGCTCTGGGACTGTCGACCCATTATTCTGGTATTTTTATCTGGCATAAACACAGGGGTGGAGATAAAAAAGATAATAGTCACCTACACAAGGTTATAAGGCCACGATCGCGTGGAAATACACACAGCACAGCGTATATGACCGCTAGGGGGAAATTCATGATAGATGAGTCTTCTAACGGACGT